CCTACTTACTGTCAAGTATGCGTATCCCACAGTGCTCAGTGCTCCAGCACAGCAACCAATCAAAAGAGCTCCCCAAGGACTGATTGACATATTCGACGCTGTTCCCACGGCAACACCACCAGCAAGGGTAGCATTTTGAACATGAACCTAAAGACAAGAAAGAAATAATTTTTAAACATTTGGCCTTCACTATCCGATTTCACTTCTCAATTCTCCCATTTTCTTCTACAAGACGTTTCATTGAAATTGTGGGGGGATTTCAAGTTAGCCGATAAATCTAAGATAAAAAAAAAGTCATTCTCTCTCACCATGCTCAATCTCCATTTTGTTCCTTCCCTCTGGAAGAGCGGCGAGAGTGCGAATGTGGTCACACAAGCAGCAGCCAATGAGAAGTACGTGTTGATGACGGAACGGTGTTGTGCAACGTAATCAGGAGCCACCAAGGCAGCGTTGAAACTTGGCCAGTACATCCACAGGAAAACAGTACCTTAAATTTCATAAACTGTTAATTCTTCCATTACCAAGATCTTGCGAAAATTTTTCGGCCAAGTTCCGTACAAAAATGATTTGGATATATCAACAAAGTTGAAATGGTAAATTGGCCACCGTAACGATTACAAAAGCTGACGTTTCGAGCGTTATCCCTTCGTCGGGCTAACGCTCGAAACGTCAGCTTTTGTAATCGTTACGGTGGCCAATTTACCATTTCAACTTTGTTGATATATCCAAATCATTTTTGTACGGAACTTGGCCGAAAAATTTTCGCAAGATCTTGGTAATGGAAGAATTAACAGTTTATGAAATTTAAGGTACTGTTTTCCTGTGGATGTACTGGCCAAGTTTCAACGCTGCCTTGGTGGCTCCTGATTACGTTGCACAACACCGTTCCGTCATCAACACGTACTTCTCATTGGCTGCTGCTTGTGTGACCACATTCGCACTCTCCCCGCTCTTCCAGAGGGAAGGAACAAAATGGAGATTGAGCATGGTGAGAGAGAATGACTTTTTTTTTATCTTAGATTTATCGGCTAACTTGAAATCCCCCCACAATTTCAATGAAACGTCTTGAAGAAGAAAATGGGAGAATTGAGAAGTGAAATCGGATAGTGAAGGCCAAATGTTTAAAAATTATTTCTTTCTTGTCTTTAGGTTCATGTTCAAAATGCTACCCTTGCTGGTGGTGTTGCCGTGGGAACAGCGTCGAATATGTCAATCAGTCCTTGGGGAGCTCTTTTGATTGGTTGCTGTGCTGGAGCACTGAGCACTGTGGGATACGCATACTTGACAGTAAGTATGAATAAGTCATGGCATGTCCAGTAAATGAATATCGTAGTATCTAGTTTTTGGTGAAGTAAATTGTACCTCATATCCACTGACGTATGTTCCTTTTGCAGCCGTTCTTGACCAAATACACCAAGACCCATGACACGTGTGGTGTACACAACCTGCACGGAATGCCGGGAATCCTTGGTGGTATCGCAGGCGCTGTTGCTGCTGCGCATGCGGATGTTAACAAATATGGATACGATGGGTACGTCAGATATTTCCTATCGTTTAGATGATTTCGTAGAATCCGACACGGCGATCAAACTTAGGGCATGCGCAAATGAGTCAATCTTGGCCAGCTGGGCACCATTCGCTTTTGTTATAGTAACCCGATAATAAGCCATAACTTAAGCCTGAATGTTTTTCATTTGGAATCCGTGTAAATCTTTTCCATCTTTAACAATCCCTGTTCCTTCTCGGCTCGATGTTGTCTCTTGTATTTGAATCATTCCAAACCAAACTGTTTTTGATTTTGTAATTATATTCAATCTATGTAAATCGTCTCCATCCTTAGCCGTCCTTGTTCCTTTTTGGTATATTATTGCCTTTTATGGCACGGTATTTTTTCTCTATCCTGCTGAGCCAATATTTTGTAGTCATTCAAAATCCGTGTCCATCTCCTCCATTCTTAGCCATCCCTCTTTCATCTTGGTGTACTATTGTCTTTTTTGTATATTGATATCATTCCTTACCAATATTTTACGGTCATTTACAGTCCGTGTTAATCTTCCCGTGCTTCATCCTTCTTGCTTTAGTACTGCCTCTTTGGTGTTTTTCTATCTTTTCATACTGTTGTCACGCACTGAGTCCTTTGCAATCTGGGTTAATCTCTTCCATCTCAAGCCATCCGCGATCTTTTTTTGGTTTGTTCATGCAAATATCTGGTCTTTGCGCATCCTGAAAAACTTTTGCATAGAGGCTTGCCTATGATTTATGTATAGCCAGGGGAAGAGATAATTTTCCCTTCTTTTTTCCTTAGCTTATTCAATCTGTGGGGTGCGCGTGCTCCAAAGATGAATTCCACTGAGTACAATAAGTTGGTTGGCATGGGCGTGGCGTTTGATGCAGGAGATGGCCGCTCAGCCAAAGCTCAGGCTGGTTACCAGATCGCCGGTTTAGCTGTCGCTCTTGGAATTGCTGTCATTGGGGGGATTGTGACTGGTAACGAGAATTGCTTTACTTCCTAACAAATGAAATAAAAGTTTAAGACTGATGCTGAAATTACACGTAAAGCGCGAAAAGACCTGAGTGTTATTTCTCCTCTCGGAATGAAATTTACGATATCGTCTGGCTTTATTATTTTAATTTTGTTTCCCACAAAAAAAAAAGTCGCGCTAAATATTATTCATAGCGGTAACGTCTAAATAAACAATAACTTTTGGACTACGAGCTGTCGTTCCTCATCGGCGAAGTCTGTTATTGTGCGAGTCAGGAAAAAATCAGTGAAAAAAACTAACATAATTTTTTTTTCACTCATTTATTGACTCGCACAACGGAATTCGCCGAAAAGAAGAGATTGCTCGTAAATAACTGTAATGAAAAAAAAAAAAAAACTTAAAGAAATTAATGAAGTATGGTCAGCGAGCGTTACAATCTAACCGATAGTTCAAGAATACTGAATACGGACATGAGAACTGTAGGTTTTTTTTTTTTTTTCTTTTTTGCCTCTTAGGAGTGACTTGATATCGGAATATCTCTGAAATCTAGCAGTAACATTTTAAAGGAAAAGGTTTTTAATTTTTTTTTTTCTGTTCTGGTCTTTTCACGTAGGTTTCATTGTGAGGTGGAAAATCTTTGATCCACCCTCTAGAGAACAGATGTACGATGATGAAGATTACTGGGAGGTAAGATGTTTTCCTGGTGGCTATTAACCCTTTATACCCTAACATGAGTATTTATATTCTCCACACTGTTCTGTTCTGTTTACATTCCCTAAGGTACTTACAAGGAGAATTTGATTGACAATCTGGAGCTTCTAAAATTGCTGATCATTTCCTTTATTCCCATGACCTTTATATTTGATTGGAGGGTGACACTGTATGGAGAAATTGTGAGATTGGACGCTCGGCCCAATCTCCCACGGAGGTTTACATTTCGCCCTTACCTTTATCCGCGGATAGAGCACATTTTCAGTTACTGACCATTGTGATATTTTTCTTTCCATCTCTGTTAGGTCCCCACTGAAGATGGAAGCGAAGATGTGGAGACCGGCAACGGTTTAGCCCTCGAGAAGGAAGCTAAACTGTAAGCTTCTAAGCACTGAAATGAAAGCCCTTTCGGCCGCTGTATTTTTTTTCTTTTTATACTACATCTGATGAATCGCTAGCTAAGTTTCAAGCTGGGGTAGGAAACATGCTCATGATTTATAATTCTTGTAAACGACGTTAATTTTTATGCCAGTGCTCTCGGGAAGCGAAAAAACGTGTTCTGATTTTAACACGATCAAAATAAAATCTGCAGTAATTCGGAAAACGTGTAACGGGTAAAGTCTGATCTGGCATTAATTGTTTTGTTTTGTTTTTTTTTAACTCAGCTTTTATGCTGACGTTCACAGGAAAATTTAGGAGATGTTAAAAATGAATTTTTCAACCGTGTGTTAATGATGTGAGATTCATTTAATAATTCGGAAATATCAACAAAGTTGAAATGGTAAATTGGCCACCGTAACGATTACAAAAGCTGATGTTTCGAGCGTTAGCCCTCCGACGAAGGGCTAACGTTCAAAACGTCAACTTTTGTAATCGTTACGATGGCCAATTTACCATTTCAACTTTGTTGATATATCCAAATTATTTCGTTACCCCCACCGACCCAGCCCCAAACAGTCTCTTTAAAAACTATCAGCCTTTATTCATGAGATTCATTTAGTTTTTTCTCTATCTATCCCTTTCAACCCCGACTGACCAGCATCTAATTTCTATTTATTACACGACTCGGGCAGTCAGAGGGCCAATAACTAAAATCAACCAATCAAAATGCTCTGTTACCGGTCCAATATTCTCTAAGTAGTGGACCGGGCACTGTCCCGAATGGTCCCGAATGATACCGCACTTGTGTCCCTTTGAACTTCAGTCGTATAATAAATCTCTTATTAACCAAGCTTGCTCGGGACCGTACTGGAAGAATATCGGCCCTCGGTCTTTTTTGTACGGACCTCGCTGCGCTCGGTCCGTACCGTCAAGACCTCGGGCCGATATTCTCCCAATACGGCCCTCGCGCTTGGTTAATAAGATATATTTACTGTAATAGTACCGTATCACTCGTTAAGGTCACGAGAATAAAGGAAATGATCATCAACTTGGGAAGCTTTGATTGTTAAACGAATTCTCCTTTTCAGTACCAAAGGAAATGTATAGAGTACACTATGGAGAATATGCATACTGATGTTGGGGTGTAATTAAGGGGTTAATGTCTTCCATGATTTGTTTAGAAAACGAAATGAAATAGTGTTTTTGAATAAAGCTCTTTAAACCAGTGAGCTGGGTTTTTTTCTTTTTTTTTGTACATCAGTTGAAATTGGTATCAAACATTAAACATTGTGGTTGATTTGATCACCCTACAACATAAAAATTAAGCATGATAAGGGAAATAATGTGATTGATATATTTGGGTTTTTCTTTTAAGAACGGTATGATTAGTTTGAGTAATCTTTTGGAAACTTCATAACATTGATTCCACAAAAGCAATTTTAGGTAATAGTTTCGTTGAACCACGAACCGATCAATTCGAAGCTCAGACACTTTCCCCCACCCCACCACCCACGGGTATTTGACCGTCTTGCATGCTCCTGGGGTGGGGGAATTTGAACCTCGGCTGGCTGGGGTGGAGAACTTGAATCGGAAGTGTTAAATATTTCCTCCAGAATATGAGTGTTATATATTTACTATGGATGTGTTTAAAGGCAAAAAGTCCACTTATTCGCTTTTCCTCTGACAGCGTGGAAGTTAATCGCCGGAAAAGTGCATCAAAACTATTCCCTTAAATCCTACAAGGGCGCCTTCAAATTTACTATGACGTGGGCCCACGCGAAGCTAAAGCAGTTAGGTTCACGCTATTTTACGTGGAACATGAAAGGACCTGCTGACATTTGCCGTTAGACTTAAACGTGGTGCTAAATCCCTTCATTATCATAATTATAACGGGGTCATCTAGATATAGGCATGATTATGCCGCTAAAAATCAGAGGGAAAGCGCTTTAATTAAAAAGGTAGCACTGTGTTTTACAAAGCTCAAAAGCAGACACTCCTACTGACGTTGGAAAGATTCTGAGAAAAGGATACTTGACATTTAGAGACCGTGCACTTGATGGTCGTACTCGAAGAAAGTAAAAACTATGAAAAGTTGAATTGTAATAAACAAGATAGAGATTCAAAGAGTAACTGTCTAGTTTAAGTTAATTAATCAATGAAATTCATATATCTGAACTGCGGTTATAGAAACGTATTAGGATCGTGCACTAATACGTTCAGTTGATCAGTATTGAAAGGCAAAGCTTGGCAGAGAAAGTTAAAGACCACTCAGCTTGATTCAATCAATGTTTTCGTATCCCTCAACATGTTTCTGAGGGAGCTATCAGAGAGAGAAAAATTCTAATGTTAAGAATGAGTAATTATAACACATAGTCTTTTACAATTTATTCAGTGATGTCTAGTTCTCACGCAAGTGTATTAAATACAAAGTGTTTAGAAGAGGTTTGGGTTGAGTCTCGGCCTCATTTCCTCTTGTGCTATGTAGAACCTTGTTACCCATATCTGATTGGTACCAAAGTTTGTGGTGTCTAAATCTCGCAAGTGAACGAGACTGAAAAGAGGCTTGGGCCGAGTCTCGGCCTCATTCCCTCTCGTGCTATTTATACCCTTGCTGCCATTAGCGATTGGTAGTGATTAGTACCAAATTTTTTGGTGTCTAGTTCTCGCACAAGTGTATTAAACACAAAGTGCACTAAAAAGAAGCTCGGGTTGAGCCTCGGCCTCACTCCCTCCCGTGTTATTTAGACCCTTGTTACCTATAACTGATTGGTACCGAATTTTGTCAACAGTTATCATGCTTCGAGACACATCTCACCTCCCAGAAATCCTCATCATTGAACAGTTGTTCTTCAGATGGTGGATCAAAGATCTTTCTCTTGACAATCGAACCTGAATAGAGGAAACCAATTTCTCACTGTCGACTCTATGTTTTATCATACACCGAATGCAAATATGGCGTCCAATTTGAGTTGCCATTGTTCTGGACTCACTAGCCTCTCACTCATGTAATAATCCTTTTGTGTTTTCACTTGAAGACGAGGCTAGAGAGTCCTGAACGATGGCAATTCAAATTGGACGCCATATTTGCATTCGGTGTATAGTGAAGGTCGCTTTTTGGAAATCAAATCATGTTTATGCCCTTACCCTTAACTTCCATGAATATCAAGACAGAATTTCTCCTTGCAATATCAAAACAATATCAAGCAGACAAGTGATGAGAATAAAGAGAAATATCAAATAAGGGATTATAAAATAATTTAGTTGATCCAATACCAAATTCTCCAAACTAACATCATAAGAATAGTTTGGAAGACGGTAAAGAGAATCACTAATAAGATCTTGGGAGCGAAGCGGTTAAAATTTAAAAAACGTTAAGTAGAAGGAAGCCGATTTTCATGAAGTTTTATCAAAGGGAGACCCCATGACATTGCAGTACAAATGAAAAACCTCTATTTGATTTCACCCATTTACAAGGAGAAAACCAGCTCTAGGCGGCTATGCTTTTATCCTTTGGTTTTCAAGGTTCTGAGCCCAGTCAAAACATCAATATTTCAGGGTGTAAATCTAGCGATTTGATTGGCTATGAGAAAGGAATTAGTGCAAAAACTTGGATTAAAAAGGGAAGGAGAACCAACAAAAAAAGGAGCAGAAGTTTAACAGATAATTTGCTAAGTTTCGCTTCGTAAAACATTGTCTTGAAAGGCTCTTTAAAATGAACATTTTGGGTGAAAACGGTAATATCTAGTTAAAATATTACTTTCGGACCAGCAGACTTATTGTGTCAAGTAAGGATCGCTTAATCACCCGCCACATCGCATCGTTCCTTTTTTTTTTTTTTTTTCGATAAAAACGATATCATTAAAATTGTTACCAGTTACAATTCCTCCAAAGATAGAGACGACAATAGTGACCAGAATACCAGCGACCTGGTAACCAGCCTGAACAGAGGCTGTGCGTTGATCTCCCACATTAAACTTCACACCCATATTCTTCAGCTCCCAGTATTCAGTGGAGTTCATCTTTGGCGCACGCGCACTCCATACACTGAATAGACTGAAAAAAAATTTATATTGAAGAAACGAAATTTTAATATTCCAGTGGCGATGTACACGATATATGTCGCAAAAGAGAGGAAATTACGAACCCTTCATATCCGTATGAGTCAACTTCTGCAAGCGCGGTGACAACTGAGCCTGCGATGCCACCAAAAATTCCCGGAATTCCGTGCAAGTTGTGCACACCGCATGTGTCATGGATTTTGAGAGACTTGGCGAAGAATGACTACAGATGAGATACGAATTGAAAAACTAAAGATTGGCTTTTATGTTTCCAAGATTCTGCACTCAACAGTACGCTGAAAACACCTCTTAATCATTTAAAAGTAACCCTTCTTGTACATGTCAAGGGAAAAAACGCTGGGAAGAACGCACAAGTTAATTGTATTTGATTGTATCTGACCCCAACCTCGTCCCCAAGATCTCGTCTCTCATCTTCCCTCCCCTGGAGCGAGAGAGTGACGGGGAGATGAGAGACCCTGGGAACGAGGTTGTTTCTAATCCCCCCTCGCTGCTGTCAATACCCTAAGTAACTAAAAGTGTTATCTCAAATCCAACGTATCCTTTTCGCTTACAGTCAAATACGAACATCCAACAGTGCTCAGAGCTCCGGCGATACAACCTATCAAAAGAGCTCCGAAAGGCGTCAAAAACATGTCAGATGTTGTTCCCACGGCAACGCCGCCAGCCAGAGTGGCATTTTGAACATGAACCTAAAAAAAAAGAAGGCAGCTTCCTTTAGAATTGTGAAATATGAATAACGCGTATCACTAATTTGGTTACACATGTTAATTTTTCTCATTTTCCTACTCTGACATTTCGTTTGAAATTACAACGGAAGTGTGTTTCCTGCCAAAGTGCGCATGCGTTTATTGAAAATATTGCAAGATTTGTGTATCACGTGTCGTCGGCAAGATTTTCTAACGGTTAGATCCTGAACTAACGCATTAGTGGTCGGGCATAAAGGCTTGTTGTCATTCAGTTTTTATATAATTATTACTTTTCGCTGACCAAGAGCAGGTCACATGGACCACCCACCCCTCCCCTACCCTTTAGGTACACCTATGTTGCGAGCTCTATGAATCAAAAGGACTCAGTTTTTCTCACCATACTTAACTTCCATTTACCGCCACTTCTCTGAAAGATAGGCGATAGTGCGAAAACCGTAACACAGGATGCAGTTAAGGAGAAGTAGGTGTTGATGATAGCGCGATGTTGAGCGACGCAGTCGGGAGGCAGTAACGCGGCGTTGAAACTGGGCCAGAGCAACCATAGGAATACAGTACCTGATAAGTAAAATAGTTCAGTAATAATTTTTAGGTTTATCTTAACTCATATGGTAGTGAAAATCTCCTTCCAGTTTAAGCGCATATTGCAGAATTCAGCCTGCCTAGATAATGACGAAAACTAGAGACTTGATCAAACATTGGATTGCCAACTGACATTTGCGGTCTTTTGTGGCCATCGATGATCGAATTCTTGCAGACTCATCTTCAGTCTGTTTTTAGTTTTCAGAAGCGAGAGAGGAATGGAGACGAGAAATAATGATAGGCGATAAGGAGGTCGACGGTAAGGTGGCTATTTCTTAATTCATCTTTGAGAGCTTCCCTCAGAGATGACTGGGAACGAGTTGGGGATAAGTGTAGAACCGCTGTAGTTCTGGTCAACGAGAGGGGGCATGATCTGGGTACGAGTGATGCGTGTGGCGGTTGATTTTCTCGCAAACCGTGCATCTTAGGCGCGTGTTTCCCGCCCTATTCTCGTTTGAGAAAACGTAGAAGTAAGAACCGCTCTGTAGGTTGAGCCAAACACAATTCCATTTGTCACTTGCGTGGCCGGTCTGACATGCTAATCAAAGACTCAAGTAATTGCCTAAGCATGATACCTATATATCTTACCAATCATAGCAGACAGGTCTGAATGGTAACTAGATCCTTCATTGTGATTATCCAATACATTTTCATCGTACATTACCCATGACAAGGCTAAACCGAAATATGCCGCAAAGATATGAATGACTACGGACCCTCCAACGTCGGAGTACTTCAGATATTTGACAGCGATCAAATTATTGACACCGTAGAATACTATTTCCAGAATACCGATGACCAGTAGTTGTAGACGGCTCACTTTTCCCAAGACCACTCCGAAGCTGATGAGGACAGTAACGGCGGCAAACTCTGCGCTTATTAAACTGCATTAAAATCAGACAAAGCGGAAACATGAGACGTAACTCACTCATAACACCGTGATTGTGCACGCGCTGCGAGCCTGTTCATGCCTTATATTCCCTGCCAGACAACATGGTGGGTAGAAGGGTAAATTCGATACCAATACTTCTTATAAGGCACGCCCTAAGAAAAATAATTTCTGTATTCATTTCATCCGTCGCCTGCTGATAATCTCTGAGTAGAACATAAACAGTGAAGTAAGATTGTTGGTACATACTTTCTTATACCAATTTCAATGTGGTCTTTTCCATTGATGTAAATCTGATTAAAACAGCCATTTATAATTGCTCCCCATTGGGAAAGAAGAGCTGCGATGAAGAAGTTATATCCCACACCACTATAACCATACTTCTTCAGGAAGGTCATTAGAAAACCAACACCCATAAAGACGATAACATTGACATCTTGGAAGACTACAGAAAAAAAAGGAAGTGGCGTAAGACAGGAAGTGAGCGAGACAGCAAGAAAAGCGAAACATTATTTTTTGAAGACAAGAAAGATTTAGCATCGCGTTTACTTGAAAGGTGAACGGCAAGAGTGACCACGTGACCTTGTTTTTTCCTGCCTTTTTTTGTTACGTTTGCTGGGAAAGTAACCTGTTTCGAGTTTGACGTATATCTAAGATTTTCTTCACTTTTTCTTTCACAGAGTAGGAGTTAATAAAAATCCACGATATCCACCAACATGAGTTCACCCGAGGCTAAAGCAGCATAGTTCACGTTATTTTACGTGAAACGTGAAAGGGCAAGCTGACGTTTCCCGTTTCACGCAAACGCGGTGCTAAATCTCTCTAACATATCCTTAATCGATATCCTCAATCGAAACTACAATTAGGGAGTAACTTAAAGCAGAAGAGTTGAAAAAGGAAAAAACTTGATCTAATTCTCTGTGAGAAGTAATATAGGTTTTGAGAATTTGAAAAAGCTACGAGGAGGCAAAAGCTAAAGCGTGCGCGCGATTCTGCACCACGTGAACGTGGATCCATTATAAACACACGCACACAGAGGCAAACATTGAACATAAAGGTTGTATGGAAGAAAGAGCCCTCGCACGCGCGAGAATAAGCACGAGGCAGCCTTCGCGCCCGCGAGAGTAAGCACGAGGCAGACTTTACGCGCGCGAGAGTAAGCACGAGGCTAGGGTAATTACATGTTCATTGGTTGAGAGGTGTTATCAATACTCCAAGATACAAATCGTATCCACGCACGGCCAGGTAATATCCACTGTGTCCCCTTATAAAGGGGACTATATCACAAGGTTACAGAATTGTGCTTTACATCGATAGGAAAAGGAACTAATATAAGGCATCGCAGTAACAAATACAACGTTACGTGTTTATGAGTTGTTTTGCACTTTTGACTGGTGATCATGAGACTCTTGCGGGTTAATCATGGGACCCAGATCTAGATCAACCAGATAAACCTATATTTATTCCAGACAAATAAATTGCTGAGTCCACATCAAATATATAAGTAATTCTTGACAACCTCATACTCTATTAAAACCAAAAAGGATGTTTTTTTGTTTTGTCATTAGCGTAGGACAAAGGAAAATTCTGAGTCCTCATAAGGAATCGAACCTCAGACACTCAGATTCCACCGTCGCTCCGAAGCTTTGCCACCGAGTTACAACGAACTATCTACTGAGCCTTATTGTTTGAGGTGCTACCATAAAACAACATAGACTTTCTGATGGGTCACGTAACATGGCATCATGGCAAAAAAGTGTTTGGTACATTTCGGGTAAAATCGTTTGGTCACTTTGTAAGATCAGACAATACACTTAAGCTTTACTTTACCTTAAGTATTGGAAAAAAAACTTAACTTTTCACTTACAAGGATAGAAGATTGGCACATCATTGTCAGGATCCGCGTGAACGTGTACTTTAGCGCTTTTGTTTACGTCCGGCCGGCTTTCTCGTTGCGATGGCGGCAAAGCGCGTTCCCCATATTTAACCAGAACACCAAACAGTGTCAAGAGCATCAGTTCGAAAAGCCCACAAATTATTGAAAACTTCAGACCCATTTTCAATTCCTCGCGACTACAACTGCGGGAAAAAAACTCAAGGGACGTTACAGCTTAAAATCGGGTCATCACCTGGTTAGGGTGCAATAAAGCCTAGAAAAGATTTTGTGCCCTGCGCTTTTGGACTGGTAACGCAACATGAAACTTAACTCCACGTAACACTCTTTGTGCATTGAGTTAATACACAGGTTGTGGCACAGGTAGCCCAAGCGTGCTGTGTGTGTGATTTTGGGGTCTAGAGGTCAGTACGCTTGGGCTTCCTGTGGTTGCAGTACACCTTTTCTCTCTCAAGATATCAATGTCAACTATCGTAGCAGTGCTTGTATTTAAGCAACTGCGCACCCACCCCTCCCCTAACCCAACTTTATCCCTTGATTTTTATCAGTTGACTGTTGCTATGTTAAGGGGGGTAGGTCACAGTGCGCAGTTTCTCAGGTACTTGTATTGATCTATCAATACTCCATACTGTCTGCCATTCATTTCTTATGAGTTAAGTTCTGAGAATTTTGTGTTAAATCAAACTTTATCTCACAGATTGATTTTTTTCCTCCTTCTTCACGCATTCTTGTTTGGAACTGCATCAATGAACACAAATAGGAAGGATCTATCAATTGCCGCTCCTGGGAGTGAAATAGTTCAGAAGCACTTTGCCTTTTATTTGTGAAAGTATGACGCACTATATTTGTGAAAGTATGTTAAGTTTCTCTGTCGCCAAACAGGAAAGAAATAATCTCACGAGGCGGCTATGTCAAAATATCAAAGTACTCCCCCATTTTTAAAAAACTTTCATTAGATATCATTTTTTTAAAGAAGCGCTGAAGAAATTGTTTTAGTGGCAATAAACACATCATCCTCGGAGACCCAGGGGCAGTGAGTCGATTTCAAGTTAAGGGCAGAAGAGCCCCTGGGGACATTGTCCTACAAGACTAGTTCCAAACGGTCGCAGTCGTTCTGGCATCTGATTGGTGCCAGAAAATCTTTGTTTTTTTCTGCCCAATCAGAGTGAAGTGTCGTTTGGAGTCCTTTCGTGTGTTTTAACATGCACATATTGAACAAGCCTGTAGCTCGCTATGTTTGTCTCGGCCGTGCGACGAAGCTTTGACCGAGGGGAAAAGTTTCAGTCTCAGCACACAATGTAAGAGAAATCGATCAGATTGTCCGCGAAATCTTACCGGAAATTATACTAAATACTTTCGCAGGTATCACAAGAGAACGAGTTTAAAAGTTTGGGAGGTTCGTATAAAACACAATGGTTGAAAGCATTGATATGTCGCTTTAAACGTTAGATGAGATGTAAGCCTAAATCTTTCAAGATTTTTTTGTATAATTTGCTGTCACTGAAACTTTTCCAATCCCGTGAAGCTATTTCGTCGCACGGGCCACGCAGGTATGTCGAACAACTGGCGCTTACGCATTTTTTTGTGCACGCCCGGCCAAAATCTAATCTAATCTTCGCTTGAAAAATTAAAAAGAAATGCTGAACGTGGAAACTTTTGTTTATTAGATGTGGTTAGATAACCCTGTACTAAGCTGACATTTGCAATAAGGCAAGCTCGCCCTTTCCATCCAATATTTCTTTGCCTTTGGTTTTGTTTTCCCCAATGAAAGCAGCATCGATTCCCAATGATCAAAGGTAATTAACTTGGTCTTCAACTATCGACAAAAGAGGTGAAGTGACAATGACCAAGGGACTAGAAGAGGATCCGTGGCCTTTCGAGCTCAAGAATTTGAACACTCAACGCAGCAGTTGAAAGATTAACTTTCTTCAAACCCCTTCGGTAACTGTCCGAAAACATATCTCCTTTCCACGATGTTCTCGATGATTAGTTTTTGTTCAGATTTTAATTAGCTAACCGGAAACACAGCTAAGCTTTCTTTAAGCGCTTCCTGGAGGTCGTCCACGTACTTAACGTTCTCTGCAAGTTTGGCCATATTGTAGACTTTACTACAAAGCAACGATTAAAATTTGGCGCGCACAGAAAGCTACGTAAGCGCCAGTTGCTTGACATACCTGCGTGGCCCGTGCGACGAAATAACTTCACGGCCTTGAAAAAGTTTCAGTCACAACAAATTGTACAAAAAATCTAAAAATATTTAAGCTTACATCTCATCTAACGTTTAATGCGACATATCAATGCCTGCAACTATTATGTTTTAAAACGAACCTCGCAAACTTTTAAACTCGTTCTCTTGTAATACCTGCGAAAGTATTCAGTATAATTTCCGGTAAGATTTCGCAGACAATCTGATCGATTTCTCTTACATTGTGTGCTGAGACTGAAACTTTTCCCCTCGCGCAAAGCTTCGTCGCACGGCCGAGGCAAACATAGCGAGCAACAGAGCTTGTTATATATGTGCGTGTTAAAACACACGAAAGGACTCCAAACGACACTTCCCTCTGATTGGGCAGAAAAACACAAAGATTTTCTGGCACCAATCAGATGCCAGAATGACTGCGACCGTTTGGAACTAGTCTTGTAAGACAATGTCCCCAGGGGCTCTTCTGCCCTCAACTTGAAATCGACTCACTGCCCCTGGGTCTCCGAGGATGTAAACACATAGGAAAACGCTAATTAAAAGGTCACTATATTTAACGTTTTCAAATATTTACTTATTGACAGACATTCGTGACCATATTAAAATTCAGGCAGGGACTCTATCACATGAGAAGCAGAAACGTCACATGAAACATCCCATGACAGAGGAGAGGTGAAGAGCGTTCCGCTCTTTGGCTCATACACCATAGTCAAGCAGAGGAATGATGTTTGGGTAAGAGCTGGGGGGGGGGGTACTCACCAGACGAGGAATTCACCTGGGTATCTAAAGTGAGGGTTTTCATACACAGTGGCAATACCCTTCCCCCCTTACCCCCTTGGTCCCTTTTACATGCGCTGTAGTTCAGTTTAAACTTGACACTATGGACTTTATAATAAGAGGGACGTGTTCTATCACAAAAGATCTTCTAAGCTCAGGACAGGGCTAAGTTTTTCACCATCAGGGCCCGGTTGTTCAAAGAGCGGGTAACGCTATCCAACAGGTAAATCGCTATCCAGCGGATAAGTGTTATTTAAACGTACGGCGCTATCCACCGGATAGAGATTTATTCAGTGTATAGCGTTACCCATCCTTCGAACAACGGGAGCCAGGTTGCCACGTCTAAAGCTAGCTGAGTAACTGGGTAAACACAACGTCATTTAAGTTTCACTAGAGCGCTTTGCGAGTATCGTACAAACAAAACCAAGTAATCACAACTGCCAATCAGAAGAAAGGAAAATATCTTAAAGAGCCAGTGAGAACTCAAAGTAAAAACAACCAAACTGCGGAAAGCACGGGAAAACGCGGGAAAACGCGGCTGACCGAGTAGTTGTAGTTTTGCATCTGATTGGTTGCGACAGTGGTTAGAGTTTTCTGAAACAGTCACAGAGTGAAGTAAACAAAAACAAGGAAATCCCGGACTATTTTCGAAACTCGATAGAAAATGCTCTAACATTTACATGAATGACTCAACCTGCTTAATTAGGGATTAGCTCAGTAATGTGAGAAAAACATAGTCAAGGATTTATGTGGCCCGGATTAATTCAAGATGTCGTTTAATTAGAAACTTACACATGATTCGAGGGACAGTATCTTATCAAAGATTTTTATCACAGGACTGTGAATGACGTGTTTGCTCTAGCACATAAACACATGGAGATCTTACCAAAATTATACCAAAGAAGGAAATGGAAGTTTTGAAGAGAATCAATAAACTTATTTTGGAAATTAGAAGATATTATGATCTCGAGACGAATCGCACACACATCAAAACAAGAACCCTGGCGTGATCTTGAGATCGGACTCTAACATTCATTCGAGCGCCGTCACGTTTAAGCAAAGGTTATCCTAATTTACCATAAGGCACACGAGTGCTTCAGTCGGTGTGGAAAGTTCAGCCCAAGAGACCTGCACACTTCCTGTTTGAAAAACTTCTCTTATATGAAACATTTTCAAACTTAGACAATTCAACCCACCGATATTCAACTCTGAGTAACTTGATGATCAACTAGCTGAGAGTCACGCTCCTGAACTGGGCAGTACTTGCTAGAGTTCAACTTGGATCTGAGTTCAAAGTCCATCATGTCGTATAGTACATCAAACAGGTTTGCTAAGGTATGTGTTACATGCTTTATATTTATCCAAAGTCAAAGGTTAACAAGGATTTCCAGCTGAGTCCAATTTTCAGCGCTCAGAGGATGACTGAAAATTTGTGAAAGAAAAAACGAATAATACCAATAACTTTTTTCTACACCCCTAAAACTTTTGTGAGGAAAAAAGCCTCTGCTCCAAGGCTATTCTTAGCTCTGAATCCTCCCTGTCCTAAGAACAATGAGATGAAACCACGGCTGACGAACAAAAGTTTTTCACGTGTTTTATGCCTGAGGGGATAATAGCGTCTAATAACCCCTTGTTCGGAAACCGAATGACTTCACGAAAAAACAAATAAACTTTGTACAGATTTAAGTTAGACCTTCCCAATGTTGTGCCCCTCAATCAGTTTATCCTTCCTAGTCCTGCAGAACAGAGCTGTCCGCCAGGAGCTAAAATGGGCTTCAATTTTTCCCTCATCAGTGGTCTCTTCCAACTATTGCTTCTGATATCGTTCTCCCTTCTGGTAAAGTATGGCGACGATGCTACTCCGTCTATTAAACACAGCACCTCTAACTTTACTTCTGAAGGACCTAAGAAGGACGATGTTCCCATCTACTATCCATGTAAGTGCGATTTTCACTTATTTTTCTCGTGACTTGAAGAAAAAACCGGCAATTTCTTGACTTCAGACATCATGCATCAGTCAGTAGATCTTAGACGATCCAGCGTAAACAGAAGTTTAACAACGAAAAAACGTTTTCGCTCAGAAATGTCTTTCTTTCATTTTTTCCGTTGATTTGATCTGGGAATGCAGCTGAATCGAGACAAAACTTTTTTACGCTTAAAAACACGTTTTTAAGTGTTACTTCTACGGTTCAATTCCTCATTAGGGGATTCAGAATTTTTTATTTGCCCCACACTCGTAAAAAGACAAAAAAACATCTTTCTTAACGTTTTGAAGTTGTTTTCAAAAAGTTCTGACTCAAAAACGATTTCAATTTTTTGATTAAAAAGCGTCACAAAGGGCAAGGACATCACAAATTCATCAGTTAAAAAGTTTATCGCTGGAACCGGGTCACAAAATTCATTTACATGGAATGTAGTATGGAGACGTTGTATTTCACTGTCACATGTCTCCTAAAATCACTGTAGCCGTGACACTTAAACAAAGAGGCTAAAACTCGAGTATAGTGAAATTGCCTAAAATCGGTACGAAATCGTGGTAGAGCAAAGAAACTGAAAAGAGCGCAAAAAGGAAGCTATTTAAGAAAATTAGAGAGCACTAAAGTGGATTCGGTTGGGTAATCTATTTGGAAAAAATAAGGCGACGTGACTTTCTCTAGAAAGATCCGGCCGGCTTGAGGTCTGTGTCTCTTCGTCACGTCTCGTGAAGATCATCGATTAACTACATATAAACTTGACCGTCGTTCTAGCACAAAATGTTTCTTCTCTGCTCATGAAAATTTCTAGGAAGGAAACAACTGAATCCAAAAAAATGCCATCTCGTTCCATTTAACTTGCCGTCGTCATGAGATCTCTGGTTGGGTCACGACCGTAGTAACAGCCCACGTTAATCTCATGACATATTAAATATATTGATTCATTTAGTAAAGTCCATTTCGGGAAAATCCCTAAAGTAAAAAGACTGGGCAAAAACCCCGACGCGTCGTAATAAGCCATGATATACATATTTTTTTTTAACCCTCTCCTTCCCAAGATCTGCCAGTTGGGAGAATTCGGTATTGGATCGACCAATAATCCCCAAATTGATATTTTTCTCAATTCTCGTCACTTGTGTGTAAGATGTTGTATTGATATTGCGAGGAGAAACTGTGTTTTAGTCACTGCAGGTAGTTAGAAGGTTAAATGAGCAAAACCATAGCGCATCACACTCGTTTCAAAGCTTTGAACATTTATAACTTTCATGAGCAAAATATGGCAATGTGAGATCACTAAATTTTACGTAATCCTAGAACAGGAACCTCGACCGAAAGGTTTTTTCGCTTTCCCATTTCGACGCTGCTTTCACGTTCTATATTGAAGGGGAGTTTTGGCGCTTTTAGGGTCGGTATAAAATCAAGTTGATCGCGAAATGCTTGCGAGTAATGAAATCTTATTCTTCAATCGACATTTTCTTCATTGCGATGTTGGTGTCTTGAACTCCCCATACAGCTACTCAACGCAATGATTAATAGGTCTGTGATCGATCAAGGAAACGCACACTTCAATATATCAGTTGCAAACCCAAAACCTCGCTCTGACAAAAGGCTAACACTCTAAACGTCAGCTTTGAAACTCTTTACAGTGGCTAATTTACATTATCAACTCAGTTAATAAAACCAAATTATCTTTTAACAGCACCACAGTTTCACAATTAACCTTTTAACCCCGAAGAGCGACCAGCATCTGCAGCACCACATTTGACACATGGGAGTAGTTGTAGTTTTGCATCTGATTGGTTGCGACAGTGGTTAGAGTTTTCTGAAACAGTCACAGAGTGAAGTAAACAAAAACAAGGAAATCCCGGACTATTTTCGAAACTCGATAACCTCCGACCCCAGGTTAAATCTCTAAACATACAATCCAAAGAAGCCACATATATAGAAGCCTGTTGAGAAATATAACTTAACTTCTGTTTTCTTCCACAGTGTTCCAAGATGTCCATGTTATGATCTAAATCGGTTTTGGTTTTCTGATGACCTTCCTGAAGAAGTATGGTTATGGCTCTGTTGGGTACAATTTCTTTATTGCTGCCCTCGTCGCTCAGTGGAGTACAATTATAAATGGTTTATTCAATCAGATTTACTTGGACGGAAACGATAAAATCAAAGTTAGCATGCAAACGTAAGTAACGAAATCTTCATCTTTCACGCTTTCCAGCTATTGGTAAATCGTAGCTTCTGAGAAAAAATATCAAGGCAATATATGGGGGCTGAAATCTTGATGGGGAGTAGGAGCCCATTGTTTAAGTAACGGCTCCTTTACACCTTTACATCAGTATAAATATTCTCCATACTGTTTTCTATACATTTTTCAAGGCGCTGACAAGGAGAATTTGTTTAACAATCGAGAGCTTCTTTAGTTGACGATCATTTCCTTTATTCCGATGATCTTAATGTTCGGTCCAGCGTAACATTGTAAGGAGAAATTAGATGCTACAGTAAAGTCACTCTCAAGTGCGAGGGTAGTAAAGGGTAATTTCATGATTCGTGTTTTGGCCAATTTTTTTCCCGAGAAACGTGAAATGGCTTGCTTTTTTCTCTTAAATCGTGATTTCAGTAGTAGTCGTGAGCCGTGATTTTCCAAAATAATTCTCCGTGAAAAGAAGAAAGAGAAAGAGGTGTTTAATTCGTCGTTAACCGTGACTTTGGTTGTAGTTTTGACAGTAATTAACAATGACCGTAAATTGTGAAAAGACCAATTTTAAAATCAAGGGTTAAGCTTTGCATGGGAAGAAACTTTCCTTCCCATATTTAAACAATATCTTTGCTCGTCTCGCTGCTAGACAGAGCCTTCGCCTCGCCTGTATAGCATTTCTACAGTTTAGTCTCGAAGGAAGTGTAGCTACTGTTAAAGAAGAATTTGTTCAAATATGACGCGTTTTCCCGCCATTTGTGGTTCTGCCGCCGGGGACCGCGGACTTCACTACTCTTTTTTCCTGTAGCGGCCATCTTGGTTTTGTTATGTTTTGATCATGAAACAAATTATTTCATCTGACGACTTATTCCTGCTTATTCGACTGTTCTGATATTGAGAACAGTAATACAGACTCATGTCTTCTATTTCTCTGATTTCCACGCAGTCTAATAGGAGCAGAGTTTGCTGCTGCTGCAGTCCTTATCACTTTCGGAGCGGTCTTGGGGAAAGTGAGCCGTCTGCAACTGCTGGTCATCGGTATCTTGGAAGTGGTATTCTACGGGATCAACAATTTGATTGCTGTCAAATATCTGAAGTATGCAGACGCAGGAGGGTCTATAGTCATTCACACCTTTGGCGCGTATTTCGGCTTGGCTTTGTCACGCGTGTTGTACAGTAAGGATTCGTTGGACAATCCAAAAGAAGGATCCGTCTATCAATCAGATATTTTTGCCATGATTGGTAAGATTTTGAGGTTGTCTAGTGTTTTCATTCGCATTTTCACTGGCGTATTAGTACAGCTGCGTCCGTGTGCCTCGATACTAATCAGTGTTAAAACTGATCCCCAACATTTCGAGATTTTAGAGTCACGGGAGTGCGTGAAAGATTGGAGATGTGTTTTCTTGTTAGTCTTAAAAAAGTAACGCAATGTTTATACAAACGAAATGCGTGACGACCCAAGACAGATACGTGGTTAGTCTGGCATACTGTATACGATTAGTCTCCTTCGCAGCCGCACAATGGTATGTCACGCAAGGCTCCCCAAACGTTTGGGGGAACCATGTGTGTGACATCATCATGAAGACCAGCTTGAAGTGAGACTTACCATATATGGAAGAAAAAGAAGAAAACTGTTTTCAATAACATCGAAGTATGGGCGAGTTTGCGATTCCGATCTTTTTACTTCAATAAGAAGAAAAACAGAACTTTACATCACCGTTTTTGCCATCATCGTAAGGGACATAATTTTCAAATCATAAATTTTAGATTGTGTCACAGCTCCCACTATCGCTCTGAAGCTTCAATATCCAAATATATATCTACATCATATATTCTGATCCAAATATATTTCTACATCATATATTCTGATACATTTATTTTTCCCAGGTACTGTTTTCCTTTGGTTGTTTTGGCCTAGTTTCAACGCTGCTTTGCTGCCTCCGGATTACGTCGCTCAGCAACGTTCCATCATCAACACGTATTTCTCCCTGACTGCTGCTTGCGTAACCACGTTCGTTTTGTCTCCCGTCTTTCATAGAGGTGGAGGAAAATGGAGGCTTAGCATGGTGAGGAAACTGTTGCACTTTTGATTCAGGAACGTGAAAAAATTCCTTTTGATTCTTCTTTTGGCTGTAGACAATTGCGTAAATATTTAGATAAAATATACAGGAGACTTGAAAAACACAAACTAACATGACTCATCACTGGCGAGTGTTCTGTCGATAAGTCTTTCAAGAAAATGTGTCAATCTTTTTGCGGGAAAAATGCGATCACCGTCTGTAGTTGAAATTAAAAGCCCTTAAAGCCAAACCCAAAGTAATTACAGCGGCGAATCAGGGTAACAAAGAAAATATTTAAGAGCCAATGGGAACTCAAAACAAAACCTGCCAAATTGCCTAAAGCGCGGGAAAACGCTGGCGACCAGACCAAGCCGTAATTGGTCTTAGTTTGCATCTGATTGGTTGAGAGAGTGGTGCGAGTTTTCTGGACCAATAACAGAGCGTAGTAAAGCTAAACCAAAGCAAACCCTGATTACTTTCGACACTCAGTTGAAAATTTTTCTGCATTAGCACCGAATCCAATCACAGCTGCCTTTTACGTTTAAGGTTCATGTTCAAAACGCAACACTGGCTGGCGGAGTTGCCGTGGGAACAGCATCCAACATGGCAATCAATCCTTTTGGAGCTCTTCTGATTGGTTCCTTAGCCGGAGCACTAAGCACTGTGGGATACGTCTACATGAGTGTAAGCAAAAACAACTTGTGGTATGATACTTCTTGATCATGGTTGGACGTTTTTAGAAGGTCAAAAAGCGCCAACGGTTTGTGCAAATCACAAAAATCACAAGGAAATCCCACAAATAAAAAACTACAAAGAAAACAATGTACTCTTACTTATCGACGTTCTTACAGTTCTTTCTGCAGGGGGTGACGCAATGTTTTTGATTTTTGACATCATTCCATACTAACCCGAATTTCCTTCAGATTTAATTTTTAGAGAAATAATCGCCAACTAAAGAAGCCCTTAACACAATGTTAAACAAATTCTCCTCGTGGGTGTCATGAAAAAAGTATGGCAAACAATAAGGAGAATATCCATACTGATAATGGATTATTATGGGATAAACTTGTTCCATGTCAAATATCTTTATCTGGTATTCAATCTCTAGCCATTGCTGATGAGTTTCACTAAAATCCATGACACCTGCGGTGTGAACAACTTGCATGGAATGCCGGGAATCTTTGGTGGCATTGCCGGCGCCATTGTGGCCGCTGGTGCTGATGCTCAGACATACGGATACGAAGGGTACGTTATATAAGAATTTTGAACATTTCAACGTTAAGTATGCTGAACCATAAAGCCTCAGGTTGCCTGCGCTTGACCTAAGAGGTGCCTCCTCTCCTTGTCGGCCATGCGCAATAGAGAAAAGCTTCGTGGTGGACTTTGATTACTTTAAGGTGATCCATAGAAGTCTATTGTGCATCTTTACGAGAAATCTTTTTTTTTAAAAGCGCGCGCACTTTATTTCTCCGAACAGTATGTCCCTTGAACCAAATGTGAAGGCCACGAGAATGAAGATATTGATCACACGTCAGTAACATAAGAAATGTAAAGAGAACAATGTGGAGAGCATGAGTGCTAATACATTTATTTTTCAAATTTTTAGTCTATTCAGTGTGTGGAGTGCGCGTGCGCCAAAGATGAACTCGAGTGAATACTGGGAGCTAAGGGATATGGGTGTCAAGTTTAATGTGGGAGATCAACGCACAGCCTCAGTCCAAGCTGGCTACCAGGTCGCTGGTCTCTTGGTTACGCTTGCCGTTGCTATCATAGGTGGAATGGTAACTGGTAATGGAACTATTATATCATTACAAGGAATGATAATTGGATAAGTTTTAGCTATGTTACACGAAGGAAACGAAACACCAGCGTTTTTTAAGTGCTCCTTCTCTCTGACACTTCATTACATCAATATATATCTTGAATCATGAATGAAGGAATTAGCTCCCCAGTGTAGGTTCAAAATGAACAGTTAGGGCTTATAAGAATACAAAGACCTATTTGTAATAGGAGTTTCAGCTTTTTTCCTTCCCCCTTCAATTAAATTGCAGACAGTGAAAAAAAAGAATCTTTTACATTTTACAAAACAAAAATAGAACCTATTAGAATTTATTGGACAAGGTTTAACAAATTTCGTGAGCTGCAAGATACTGACCAATCATGATATTTTACTATGACCTAGTTCAATGATTGTTCTATCATTCGATAAGGGAGTGTGCGTTTCGTGGTGATTTTCGTTTTATATCTCTCTTCCACGTCTTAAAGAGGTAATTTTCCATGTTTCATTAACAAGCCAAAACACTTCTACCCATCAGTAAAACATACAGTTGAGCAAGCGCAAACCATTATTTGTGAGGTCACGTAGTTTCCCTAAGCCGACAATTAAAAGAGAAGAAAATGCATCGAATGATACTGACAATTACATCGTAATAAAAAACAAAATCGTTCTCACCATTTAGGTTTTATTGTGAAGAGGTCGTTCTGTGACACACCAACTCAGGAACAAATGTATGATGATGATGATTACTGGGAGGTAAGACGAGTAAATGAATACGGTAGTGGGTGATATGGAAAGGAAGCTCGACCCAGACTCTTTTCGAAATCGTTTTGCGCAAGGCGCAAGTACAGTTCTTTAGAGTTCTTTGCCCATGAAGCAAAAATTCTGTCTAGATAAGACGTCCCCCTTGCTCCTTACGGAGGGAAACAAGGGTCAGGTGATCCCTCACTCCACTTGTGGCGGGAACTAAGGTCTTCATTTCCCGCTCATAATGGATCAGGAAACGACATCTATGGGACCGAGATTGTACTTATAAAATAAGATTTGGGGCCACTCTTTCGACCGGGATGATATGGCAATATTTTCGAATTTCTCGCTTTTGTTTTTTTTTTTTTCAGATCCCAGATAGCGATGTTGGACCAGTAGCTAAAGTATAACAAAAAAGAACGAATCTGTACCAGTTTTCACTCGTGGATGTTTTGTTGCATCCGCGACCCCCAAGATCCAAGATCGCAGCTAATCTGTTGCTTTGCAATTTTTTTTTAGCTTTTTTACAAAACTTTTTCAAACACCTCGACTTTCTACCTTGTGGGATTGTCTTTAAATCCTATAAATTACCTTGGCTTTGACAGCCTTGAAACACGATGTCGCCCCACGTGGACGTTAGCGCATGCGCAGACGTTTGGCCGCTGTGTTGCTTTAGTGAAAATCGTGAAGGACGATCCCAATTCCTCTATAGACAGTGTTAACTCGAGTTTCTCCGTATTTAGGTAGCTCCGACGCGATGGTAGATTAATACTTAAGCCCGCAAAGTAGTAAGTGAATGGTATAGGTAGGAATCAGCTCTTTAGTTTACGGAAATATGCATCTCAAGCCATCTTTAAATATCCCAATCAAATTTGATTAAAATGTGATAACAAGGGAACGTTGAAAATGCATGAAAGAATAGTAGAATGTTTATTATGTTTCCGCCAATCAGAGTTATTGAAAAAAGCTTGTATAGTTCATCAGTCTTGAAATCAAAGGAAATAAGACTGATTTTGCAAAAACTACGTGACTGTGATTACAAGAGAACGTTGAAAATGCATGGAGAAAAGTAAAATGCTTATTAGGTTTTCGTAATCAAAAACTTGTATAGTTTATTAGTGTTGAAATCAAAGGAAATAAGACTGATTTTACAAAAATTACGTGATTGTTGTATATAGACGTCCGATACGACGTCATGTAAGAATGCATGCATGAAAGAAAAGTAAAATTCTCGTTAGGTTTCTGTAATCAAAGAATGCTACCTCGTTCCTAGGGCGCTTTTCCCTTCAAAGAGGTGGGAATCAGGGCTCGACACTAACTTTTCAACGTACTAGCCAAGTGGCTGGTGACATCTTAGATGCAACGACAATGTCAGTTCATTAACTAACCAAACTGGCTAGTGGAAACCGAAAACCACCAGCTTAAACTGAATTTCTACTTGCCCGTGGCTAGTGGGCTACCGTTAGTGTCGACCCCTGCAGGAAAATTCGATTAAAATGTGATTACAAGAAAATGTTTAAGAAGCATGAAAGAAAAGTAAATTGCTTGTAAATATCCCAATCAAATTTGATTAAAATGTGATTACAAGAGAACGTTGAAAATGCATGAAAGAAAAGTAAAATTCCTTTTAAGTTTTCGTAACAAAAACAATTATCATGAATTACAAAGATAACTGTCTAGAGATTAACTGAAGTTGCTCTGACTTCATCGCGTATGGACCAAAAGCTTGTATTGTTTATTAGTCTTGGATCAAAGGAAATAAAACTGATTTTGTAAAAATTACGTTACCGTTGTATGTAGTCGCTCAATACGCCGCCAAGGGGAATTCTAGACTCCTCCTCAGCCGTTGTTTGGTCTTGTCAGTCCCCTCCCCACCCTCCTTGCTGTTTGCCTCACGAAACATGCTGTCTGTGTGTTACGGGACGAGTTCAAACAACGGTTGCGGATGAAACTAAAATTTCTCGTAATACAGTGCATAGTATGCACGCTAAATGTGGAGGCGCGGTGGTCTGATGGTTAGTGCGCTCGACTCCGGATCGAGTGGTCCGGGTTCGAGCCCCGGCCGGGACATTGTGTTGTGTTCTTAGGCAAGACACTTTGCTCTCACAGTGCCTCTCTTCACCCAGGTGTATAAATGGGTACCGGCAATTTAATGCTGGGGGTAACTCTCCGATGGACTAGCATCCCATCCAGGGGGGAGTAGAAATTCTCCTAGTCGCTTCATGTTACATAAACCGGAGTTAAGCACCGGCCTAATGGGCCACTAAACTCGTAAACAGACTTTACTTTGCACGCTAAATGTAAATTGCAAGCCTTTGTTTAAGAACCTAGGCAGGAATTTCCGGTGGTGGTTATGGAGGAGGGAGGGGCACAAATCCTACAATAGCGTCTTATTGGTAGAAAGGGGGGAATATCAGGTTGTTTTGTATTTATCGGTAATCACTAGTACTGACAAAGGTAATCTGAGCCATTTTCGTTACATGTTTTAATCTATCAGGGCGCCTGCTTACAACCCTGACCCTAAACTAGAAAAGATAAAAAAGATAAAATTGATCCATGCAGATCATTTTGAAACGTGGGGGTGGGGGTGGGGGGGGTGGAAAGTGCAGCTGTAAACAGGTTACGGAAAGGACATGGAAAAGGGACTTTTCAACGAGAAAGAACGTGCCATTTGCGCAGGAACATTCTGAAATATAGCAAGCCTTTAAGTTCGGTTTCAGGATGAGAACGGCCTAAAGCAATTTTTTTTTGGGGAAAAATCTCATCTTTCCTTCAATTATATCGTTCATCCGATCCATGGTTTTCTTCAACGGCGGTAGCCTTACTTCTCTCTTTAACCCTTTAACCTCCAAAAGTAATCAGCATCTAATTTCTCCTTACAATATCACCCCTAATATCAAACATTAAGGTCTTGAGAATAAAGGAAATGATAACCAACTAAAGAAGCCCTTGATTGTTAAACAAATTCTTCTTGTCCGTGCCTTAGGAAATGCATAGAGAACAGTATGGAGAATATGCACACTGATGTTAGGGTGTAAAGGGTCAGAGAGCGTTCGTCACTGAATGGTGCCCTGTTCTTGATTAGCTGTTTTGATTCATATTTCCAGCCTTTGATAACTGAATGTAATATAATACAGGTTTGTTATTTGCCTTCAAGTTTATCCAATTGAGAATCTCGTGGGTGAGGTTGAGGAGGGGTTTAAGTTAGGAAATTTCTTTGCTGCAGTGTGAAAACTTTGACGATATCTCATTTTGCTTGAGCTAATTTTACATAAACTACGAAGAAACGCAAAATCGGCATCGGTGCTACGTCTTCCTCGAATCATTATTACAAGGAGTCATTTGGACTATTCGCATTTGCGTGACACATTGTTTACGAGCAACTTACGGCGACGGCGGTATTATCACAAGGGTTCTCAGATTCCAAACCGTGACGACGTACGACAGAGGCCAGAGGTCACACGCAAAGCAGAAACGAAAACAAAAACTATAAAGGTGGGACAGTCAACGACGACGAAGACACCTAAGATAATTCTTGTCCAATTCTACATTGGAACAGCTCGTTTGCAAAGTGAATAATGAATGTTTTGTTTTCCGTTTTCACCTCAGTGAGCTGCTGATTTTCAATTGCTGCTTACCGCAGGTTAGTTCATCTGCTTGAAGAATGCTTTGAATCGTACACACCCCCATTTGTGATCTCACTGTAAACACTTTACAAACACTGAGTGAATGTCTGAAATACAAAATTTGTCGCAACTTGCAAATTATTCGCGTCTTCTCCCATACGCCAGTAGATTCGTACGCCGCAAAAATCAATTCACTAGCAATACATTTTAAAGTCCGTCCTGATGGACATTTTCTTGGCGCCTACAAACTCGCTTAACATCGACCCGTAGTAATGGTACGCTCTGTGCCTATTTCTGTCCACTTCTCGCGATTTTATGACCAATGCATGCCGACGATAAACCGACCAGCATTTGATGACGAAATCTCAACGATTCCTTTACGTTTTCTATGGCGTTTTGCAATCACTACCTTGATTACTTCGAGAGTTTTCCGATCTCAGCAGCCAACATCATAACAACCTGAACTTTGCTTGCTTGAAAGAGAAATATTTACCTAATTTTGAAGACTTCTTTACTTCTTAGCCCGGGGGCTGACAAAATTATTTTTCTTTAACCGTTAATTCACTTACATTTCAGCACAGTAGTCTAGACTTTGTTTATTCAAAAACAAATTTACTTCGGAGGACAAACGTTTAGGCATATTTTAGATCAGTTGTCACAAGTGTTGAGTGTTTCGTGTCGTGGATTAAGCTCAAATCCTGTATTTACAATATAAATAGCAAGATACACTTCATCCGTTCCGTCGCACGAGAAAGTATCAAAGTAGGTGTTCAGAGAATCAATTTTAAGTCATAATTGATAGGTTCAATTCGTTGCCTTTCTCCAAACTCCTTTTCCTCAATTATTATCAATCCTACATGCGTTCTCAAGAGCATTTTTCTCCGTGTATCCTTTCGTGTGCATGTGTGGCCATATTGAAGTGTTGTCAGAAGCAGCAATATCCGTTTTATTTACCGTTATTCTTTAAACTTTGTCTTCAGTTCTTGTTGCTCAGTCCAATTGTCTCCGGTGAGACATCTTTTCCACTCGCTGGCTTAAAATGAGGCTCTGTGAAGGAATGTACTTTACATGTAAAAAGGAAGAATATTTTATTCAAGATACATTAATTTTCTGAAGTGATGCGAAGGTGGTCCTTCATGCTCTGGGCGGAAACATTGGCAGAAAAACAAACTATTTAAAAAAGCCATGTTCGTAAATGGATTATTTCAATTAAAAGCCATTTTTGACAGCTTAGAAGGTTTCGGTCAACAAGGTTGGAAGCCAGTGCCACGTGATAAGATCCTTTATCGCTCTCTCTCTTTACGAGTCCTGTAAAATGAAAAAATATTTAAGGGACCGGTCATCATTTATCCCCTCTGGGGGTCGAGCCGGTCACAATTAATTATACCTGATCCCCCCCCCGCCAAAAAAAGCTCTGCCTCCTTCATCGGCAACCAATTTTCTACAGTCCCCCCCTCAGTTTTACCCCGAAAAGTCATATGACCCCTCAAATCCTCCAAACCCCAGGTGATGAATAATAAATGCTCCCTAAATGGTGGGTTTTCAGTATTCAATTCAGCTCAAGGCCCGCCTTGTACATAATTAAAGGCAGGAGCCTTTATTACAAGAAGCCAATGGAGTGATGGCGTTTACGGTGCCTTTTACTGTTAAAACTTTGGCCAATTAATATTTATTACGGCTAATGATTGATATCATTCCATGTTTGTCACCAGAAATTGTTTTCACGGATAAATTTTTTTACGACGATGGGTTAAAATTTGTCAAATTTTGCGCCTAGCAGCTAATTTTTTTGGCCTTTTTAAGCCAAATGATTCATCGAGACCCTCGTTTTAGGTTTGAACCCTAAGGGGTAGACAGGCCCCTTCCACGGTGTCCTCTTCGAATTGACATGGATTTTTCTGTTTTAATTTCTCTGAAATAATTGTAGCTCTTCCCTTCCTGAATTAGGTATCAAGAATCCCCAGGGTATCCACTACTAGTAAAGCCTTATCCGTTTATGAAAACACTACTTCAGTTTTAGTATAATTGCCTCGTCTCTCGCTAGGACCCGGCTAGAAGCATGGGAACTAACCGAATGATGACGCGTCTTTGAGGTCACGTGTCTAACATCGGCGACAGAAACGAAATCGTCAAGAAGGAGATAAAAAGTACTTTGAACTAAATTCGACTTGTTTCAAAGGAGCTGTGCACTTCAATTTAAAGCTTGTGTTACCATAGGCGGAGCTTTGATGTCTGGAAAAGAAGATTCTACTCAAGAAACGGACAGCGGTCCGGAGAAGCCCGCGGCTTCGGCACACAAAGCGAGACGTTCAAGTTTGTTCGAGGTCGGGTTTCCAGTTCAACGAGACCGTGGATCCAGCATTGTTTCCATCCCTAACATTGTACCGAGCCAATTGCACACTCTTCATCAGAAAGTCAACTACGAAAACACCTTCAAGATGGAACCGGACAAGCGATTTCATATGAGTGAAGTGAAGGAAATCCTAGACGAAACGCTGTCGTCTTCGTTGAAGGGTGTGAAGTATGATGCCATCAAATGCCGTACTTTGAGCAAATCTCTTTCTCATACAATATGCGAGAGAGTCAAGCTTCTGGGATTCACTCGCTTCAAGATCGTTTCTAGTGTGAGCATTGGGCAGATAAAAGGGCAAGACGTTAGAATTGCTAGCCGCTTTCTGTGGGACGAAAAACACGATTCCTGGGTAGACGCAGTGTTTACAAATTCTGAAATATTCGCTGTAGCGGTAGTCTATGGAGTCTATCAAGAATAGAGCGGAAAGAAGAAACTGAACGTTAACTTTAGGATACAAAAACATTATTTTTGTCTTTGAATCGTTTGATTCAAACGAAAATAAAACTGCTTATTACTTGAAACACGGTACAGACACGACATCGCTATAATGATTGTAAGTAAAAATTCGTTTCAGAGTTTTATGAACATTTTACTTGATTACCAGTACAACTTCCATAATTTCGAGATTTTCATTCACTCCTACATTGCGATTTGTCCATGGAGATGATTTAAAGTGTTCATTTAGATCTCATTTTGTACTGAATAGCTATTGAAATTTATCTTCTTTATTGAGAAACAAACCCCTTTGAATCAGTGTTTTCATTCATATACAATTACTCGTAAAATGTCTTTTTTATCAAGCGATTTGTCAGGTCGCTAACAGAGAAAGATTTTGTTCGCGAAAAGTCGATTGATTGCAAGGAATTTACACTGAGAGTAAAGTAACACTGGTCAAATGGTGTGATTTTTGGTCCTGCACTGTCGGAGAATCACCACACTGTAAGAAAACTACACTTCTACTGTTTCCTCTGATAAGACTGTATAGTCAGGTGTCACTAGCAGAAGGGAAGAACGGCAAAGATTGTGAAGTCCTGTGGTGCAAAAGTACATCAACCACCCCTCCCTGTGTGAAATTTCTCTACCCTCCATCACCACCACGGTTGCCTCATAAAACTACCGACCACATTTCACAGATTGTTCCAGTTTCCAACCAAGAAAGGGGCTCTAGATAGTAAACTTCTGTAATGATACCCATGGGGCACCCGTTTTAACACAAATAAAGAAAGAATTGACAATAACTGGAAAATGGGCGGAACAGGTCCTGTGAACGTTATCAGGTGTATATCCCCTCCCTTCCAAGACAGTGCAAAGCACTCTTTCGAAGGCTGACTGGTCCTATGAACCTTTTAAATGCAATTCTAAAGCTTTGTATCAATCTCTACATCTTGGTACTTCAATCGACTTATTTTTTAAGTTCCTTGTAATACCCTCAGCAGGACTCTTAAACGAGCATAATTATTTAATCCCGAAGAGTTACTAGAATCAAATTTCTCCTTACAATATCATCCCTCCTAAATCACCCATTAAGGTCACGAGAATAAAGGAAATGATCAAATAAACAACCTGTTGATTGTTAAACAAATTCTCCTTGTCAGCACCTCAGGAAATGAATAGTGGCAGTTTATATTCTCTTGATACAGAACAGTATGGGGTAGGGTTAACATTTTATTGTCCAGGCCAGCCAGAACACAAATATACAACACTATCACAATACTGTGGAGACAAAATTCCTTACGTTGATGTCGTAAAGTTCTCCACGACAAATGTGCGCTAAATTGAATTAAACTGAGCCAATAGTAATAATCAAAGTCACTCTTCTATAATATTAAACATAATAATTAAATAATGAATTTATAATTATTTGAACTCTTGACACACGTCCGTTATTTACTAATCATAATTTACAGGTTCAACATAGTAAACACTGATTTTAAAGTTTTCTTTTGATTCAATTAATATTCTCCTTTTGTTACTCCAACATAATTCTAAACATCAAACTGTACTTCAAACAGCACTGATGAAAAAAGTCACGTAAAGGTGCCTCTCATTGGCTAAAATTAGCCCAGGCTTTTCAAATCAAACATAGCATCTGGTAACAACTTTGGCTTTTTGGGATCACTAATCCAGGGCTCTGACAAATTCTTGATTTACTGGAAAATCTCGTTCAGTTCTTTCGTGGGCGGAGCCATCGTACTTAAACCTCAGCCTAGAGAGAACCAATCAATATAGCCCGTCTCCATAGAACATCCCCATCATTCCTAGCACCATGGAGTGCGCCATGCTGTCGCTGTCGGTTTCGCCAGCGATGATTTTCAGCTTGGGTCGACGCCTGCGCAGTCGGTATACCACATCATGGTGCACGCGCATTTGATCAGTGATGATTAAGCCCTTCAAGTTTGGCAACACACTCAAGTCAAACAAGCGCTTAATACATTCATCCGTCAGAGACCCCGAGCTGCGATCATGACCGCTGACTTCTAGTTCTTCCAGCAGCGGGCACCTGTACATGATATCAATGACCGCGGCATCGGTAGCCCCCGTGACGGACTCCAAACGGAGTTTGCGCAGATTGGGACAGTTGCTGGCAATGTGGTGCACGGCTGCATCTGACAACCATACCCCAGTCCCTGTGTTTGAGGATCCAAGCTCTAGTACCAGTAAATTGTCCTTGCATAAGTCCACGGCTTTTATGATGTCATCGTCCCGCACAGAAAATTCTGAACCGAATGTCACGCTTCGAAATGGTGTAGGAGTACCGCTGACATCATCCAAATCGTCCCTGGAACTAAACATATTCAACAAAATAAAATTTTGATAAAAGGAAATTTCCCCGTCGAATGAAATAAACTCCTGATCATTTGTGAGCCCCACAAGTAATCGCTCGAGGCTGGAGGAGGAAGTCAGTACGTTAAAAACGTTGCACTTGCTCATTTTTTAAAACCTCTAAGTTATCAGGAAATCTTTTGTTATCTATCTTCACTATGCTTGTGTCGCAAGTTGGAGAAGATTTTGATCTAGGTCAAAACCAAGGGCTAAGAAACAATAGCCAATCAGAACAAAGAAGGATCTCACAAGGAACCAATGAGAGCTCAAGGTAAAAAAGAAAACCACGCGAAATGCGGGAAAGTCGTGATTGGTTTAAGTTTTGTATCCGGTTTTTTGAGAATTTTTGAGTTTTCAAATAAAAGCCTTTATTTCTTTCATTTTAAAAAATAAAGTCAATGTTGTTGTTGTTTTGGTATTGCACAACTTTACAAATGAACTACTAATTCCTTTATATACAAACCTGAAGAAAACTTTGGGTTCAATCCTGTAGAAGCTTAAATTCTGTTCGAAAACTGGGCGCTCGAATACACTAAACGCATCATCGTGGACGGAACATGGCTCGGCGATCTTTTTACAACACCGTCCACACATTTCAAATTCGCAGCCTTTCTTGGGCTGGTTAGAGCATTTTGCTCCTTTGCACTGATATTTTCCTTGGTTGTTTGGTTTCGATTGAGGTCTCTCTACAACAGCGCGCTCTTCAGCCTTCACAAACTCCTTCGCATTCCAGTTGAGGCGTTTGTCAACTCGAGGTTGGCAAACGTTCATGGGATCCTTGATATTGAAAAGTTCACCTTTAAGAGAAGGTGGAAACGAAAATTGTTAGAAACACTGCGTGTAATGAAATTGCGTGCCTTTTTGTGAGGATCGTTTTGCTTCAGAACAAGATATATGACTGTCAAAAAATTGAAACAACTTGAAGACGACATTACAGTATGTGCAAATTCACAAAACAATCCGTAGTAAACAGCAGACATTTCAGTCCATTATCCCCAAAAGAGGGCATATTTAGGAGCAGGTTTGGAACAAAAGGAAAGTCAGTCAAAACGTGTCGATGTGATCACCAATCAAAACAAGCGCAAACAAAAGTGCGAAATCATGGAAGGAAACTAGCCGCAGAGTAAAGTGACAAATGACAAGCGCGCCCCACAGCTCAAATAAGGAAGACCTGCCAACAGGCTAGTTGCACCGCCTTAGAGCCACATATAAATTCAATGAGGTTACCTAATTCGCTCAAAACATCAGGTGCCCATAACGTATCTGTGGCAGTCCTGAAGAACGCTAATTTCTTTTCGTCGTCCCAATTCATCTTCCTCTCTAGTCCTGCGAAAACGATATAAGCGACACCTTCGTCCACTGTAACTGTGCATTCACACTCAGCCGTCTTACATCTACATTTGAAAGAATCTTTTTCTCCCGTAGCTAGGAGATATTCCCGAACAAGCTTCCCTAATGCCTCAGGGTCTGCGAGCTCTCTCCCCATACGATGAAAAACCTCTGTAGCGTCGATATTAAACCCATTATCTTCGACAACTTGAAGAAGTTTCCCCACAGCTTCCGCAGACCACTCCTTGGTGAAAGTCTTTTGCGCGACCGTCAAAATACATGCTATGTGGCTCTCCAGAAATTTGACTCTAACTGGCGCGTTACACAGCGTAAGAACTAAACTAGAAAGATCTGAGTCGTCCTTCTCACATATCTTCAAGAACAATTCTGCAGTACCGCTGGCAGATGGGCGCCAATGACGAACAGTTTCCCCCAAGATTAAGCTCAATGCGATGTTATACTCGTCAAATTCTTTGATGGACAATTCAGCCAGATTAGAGATGAGCTTATACACCGTTTCAGTTTCCCATGAACTTAAGTCATGGTTTCTGAGTTCGTGAAAGAACTCGTGGATGTGTTTCTCTAAGCAAATGGACGCGTCGGAGTCGTTACTGGATTCATCACTGTCTTCCTCTGTTTGCTTGGCTTCACTTGATTGTTCACGGGCTGAAACGAATATAAAGATACTGACTAAAAACTGGGTGTGGTCGGGTTTCCTTGTAAGTGAGGAGAGAGAGGGACCTACACTATCACCTGGGCATGTTTTAACGTCTTAAAAGTCGTTCTATAACGCAGGACACCGGTCTGGCTTTAAATAATAATAATAATAATAAAAAAAAAAAACAAAATATTATCGATGGTGATATACTCTATGCATCCGTCTTTCAATAGACATTTCTCAGAACCAATCAAAACAGGTGTTCAATTAATTTTATCATAAGGAAAAATGTTGATAGGGTCATCCCGACTCCAGTAATCGACCCCTGACCTTGTCTCGTTTTGTGCCAGTTCCACATTTCCATAGCTTCGTCTAAGGTCAGAGGGTCACGCCCATGGTCACCATCACTGCTGCTGTCATCATCATCATCATCATCTGTTTGTGCTCCAGCAACAGCAGCAGCTAACAGCAGGTTAAGATTGCCTCCTGCTTCAACGGCGCCCATTTCTGACGGAAGAATCATTCAGTTAGACTGAAAATTCTGTAATGTTTAAAATGCTTTAGATGGGATGATACAATGCAATCTACAAAGAAATCTGTATGGAACAACCCTGAACTGAGGGTAGCCAATGTTATTCTGGGCCTGCCCTTCTACGAAAATCTAATTACAAACAATACAATACAGCAAGAGAAAACAAACAAACAAACAAAAAAAGCAAATAGTGCATAAAAATGGAACGCAACGAAAAGAATGAGAGCATTTTACATCTTACATATTTTTTTACCTCTTACTTTTCACCTTTGTGATTATCTTATGAACATTATTTCAATTAATCTTCTTCTTTGAGAATGCTTACCAGTATGTTTTGTATTTTGACATTGGATGATATTTTTGGTCTCTCTCTCTCAGAAAGCACGAAAAACCTAGAGAAGTTCTCAGTTGGCCTCTACCACTTAAAATGCTTTATACGGGATGATACAATGCAATCTATAAAGAAATCTAGGTATATGGAACTGTTACAATACATAGTGATATGAACACTTCTTGCCTCATTTTTCATTCCGAAATTTCCACTTTCCCATGGGTGGAAAGAAGAGAGGCCCTTGAAATAAGGTTGTGCATTTAACAAAGGTCATAGAAGACATCACTGTAATCAGATGATTTGAGTTCCCAGGGGGTAAATTATCTTTTAATTTGGGTGAATCTAGACATGGTATAGTTCACTCACCAATAACAGCCATAGCTGGATAAACAGTAGGCCTTTAAACAAAAAATGAAAAATAAATTAAATAGATGATGATCAACAATGGTCCATAATAAATTTCCCTGAACCTTCTATAATTTGGTGGCAATATCCTAATTTGTTTGTTGAAAGAAAGATCATGGTTCAATTAGTTCGTTTGCAGAGCACTAATTTAGCCTGGAGAGCAGGCAGAAGTTTGGCATGTGATTGAACAATGTTCTCATGGTAAAAATCATAGCTGCCATATTTGATTTTTACAGCAGCAGATAAATAAATTTGTACCAAGCGGTTGAGCAAAGGTCAAGAAGAAAGAGAGGGGAGAGAGTGGGGCAGTGATTATTCCCCCCCTCTCCACCGCAACTCTCAATAAAAAATGGCTGGTTGGATGAACAATCGCAACTTTGTAATGTCAATACTCCCTGGTAGGAAGCCTGCATTGTAAGCTAGCACCAAGTCTACAAGCACAGCTTATTCCAGTTTCTGTAGCACAATGCAACTACAGGTAAAGCTTCTTCCCCTGGGGGAGATGCTGGTTCATAGAAGGTTACACCCCCCAGTATTTTGACATGCTTCCCTGACAGTTGCTAGTATTTAATTACACTACTGAGTGGAGAAAAAATCTGGGACAGTAAAATAAGAACACAACATAGTTTGCCCCCCTCGTCAACCCATAGCTCAATGTGCCAACTTTTAGGCCACCGCAACTCCCTGTAAAATTCAACTTTTAACCCTTAAACTCCAAAGATCTGATTTTTTATCCTCCCCTCTAGCTGCAACACATTTCCTTGTCAATTTGTTATGAGAATTTGGTGACAACTTCTTGATAAGTTTAATTTTCTCTTTACCTTTTTACTGCATAAAGTATGTATAGTATGGGGAGAAGTAACATGTTTATCACTTCTGAGAGCTCAAGGGTTAAAGAAGATAATCACACTGCATTCATATCTACAGACATTTGGTTTATACTGACTCACATTAAAAGTTGTTCATCTGGGTGATTGTACCAACAATCTTTTCCAAATAAGCAGCGTCCTTCCTGATAATAGTGACAAACCTTAGAGGGAAGAAAGTATTTTGAGTCCTACCCATAAAATGACCCGAACTGTGATTAAACTTTTTTTGGCTCAAAGATGACTGGAAGCTACTATAACCAGAAGCATCCCTGTGTAACAATCAAGGTGAAAGAGCTCATTGTTTGTGGTCATTCGAAAAAGATCTTGTCAGAGGACTAATTGTGGTACAAACAGTGGCCCAGTAGTTTCTAGTCTGAATTGTGATTGTAGGTTCTGGCCTGGTTTCCTTCCACGACAAAACAACAATCTTTTAGTATACTTTGCTTTTTGAATTATGTTTTTAATATTCCCCTGAACTGAGGGTAGCCAATGTTAGTCTGGGCCTGCACTTCTATGAAAATCTAATTACAAACAATACAATACAGCAAGAGAAAACAAAAAAAAAGCAACTAGTGTATCAATGGAAAGGGACGAAAAGAATGAGAGCATTTTACATCTTACATATTTTTTTTTACCTCTTACTTTTCACCTTTGTGATTATCTTATGAACATTAATTCATTTAATCTTCTTTTTTGAGAATGCTTACCAGTATGTTTTGTATTTTGACATTGGATGATATTTTTGGTCTCTCTCTCAGAAAGCACGAAAAACCTGGAGAAGTTCTCAGTTGGCCTCTACCACTTCATAAAGGAATTCCCCAATCTGGTTTGAAAAGATTGTGTTCTCTTTCCTGTGGGTTTCTGACACATTCATGGCACGGCCATGACATATTCATGGCACGGCCATGACATATTCATGGCCAGTTACAATTGTAAATTGAACCAAGCTTCTGAGGAGATTATAGCTTAATGTAAAAGCCTGCTTCCAGGCTTCAGAAATCCATGGTAAGTTAAGTCTATGTAGATTGTTGTTGTTTTTATTTTAGTGAAGTGTCTATTATACTCTTAGATGCGAAAAGTAACCCAGCATATAAACAATACATAAATGGAAAACCATATAAAGCAGTTTGAATTCATCTATGCATCTAACCTATCAGGCACAACAGTTGTTAAATTCAGAGTTAATTATCCAATAGTGATATATATACTTACAGGGACATCTTTGCTGTCATGTGAAAATCTACATTTATCTCCCTCCCTGCATTCTCCACGTATGTAATACCTGACAAATAATTTTGAACCAAAGAAATAATTATGTATATCACCCTCACAGTTTCCAAGACAAGAAACTAATTGTGGCACAAACTGTGTCCTGGTTAGCTCAATTGGTTAGAGCGCCGGATTGTGTTGTGTGGGAGGTCAAGGGTTTGAGCCCCAGCGGGACCAATACTCATGGATTGAATTTGCTACCTTTCTATAATATCAAGAAATGGATAGATATTCTAGTCTTCTCGGATATGGACGAGTAAACCGTAGGCCCCGTCTCCTGCAGGGTTAGGGGTAGGAGACGTTAATTTCCCACCCACGAGATTACTTTGTGGTGGATGTCCT